TATTCAGATATTTGGGAGTGGACGTGTCAGCGGATGGGTCTATGAAGGATGAGGTAAATCATAGAATTGATGAGGGGAAAAGGGTGAGGGGTGCACTTAGGATCTGTGGAGACAAAGAACTTTGTCCTTGGAGGAAAAGAGGGGAATGTATGAGTAGTATAGTTTTACCTACACTCTTATATGGGTGTGGAAGCATGGGTGATGAATGTTGCAGCGAGGAGAAGGTGGAGGCAGTGGAGAAGTCATGTCTGAGGGCAATGTGTGGTGTGAATATAATGCAGGGGAATTCGTAGTTTGGAAGTTAGGAGGAGGTGCGGGATTACCAAAACTGTTGTCCAGAGGGCTGAGGAAGGTTGTTGAGGTGGTTCGGACATGTAGAGAGAATGGAGCGAAACAGAATGACTTCAAGAGTGTATCAGTCTGTAGTGAAGGAAGGCGGGGTGGGGGTTTGGGCCCTAGGAAAGGTTGGAGGGAGGGGGTAAAAGAGGTTTTGTGTGCGAAGGGCTTGGACTTCCAGCGGCGTGCGTGAGCATGTTTGATAGGAGTGAATGGAGACGAATGGTTTTTAATACTTGACGTGCTGTTGGAGTGTGAGCAAAGTAACATTTATGAAGGGGTTCAGGGAAACCGGCAAAGGGGGACTTGAGTCCGGAGATGGGAAGTACAGTGCCTGCACTCTGAAGGAGGGGTTTAATGTTGCAGTTTAAAAACTGTAGTGTAAAGCACCCTTCTGGCAAGACAGTGATGGAGTGAATGATGGTGAAAGTTTTTCTTTTTCGGGCCACCCTGCCTTGGTGGGAATCGGCCAGTGTGATAATAAAATAAAATAAAATAAAAATATATATGTCGTGCCGAATAGGCAGAACTTGCGATCTTGGCTTAAATAGCAACGCTCATCTTGCCATATAGGACAAGTGAAAATTTGTGTATGCAATAATTTCGCCCAAATCATTGTGAACCTAACGAAAAAAATATATTTCACTGTGTTTTTTAGTATTAAATTACTGTAAACAAATCTAAAATATATTTAGTTGGGTTAGGCTAAAATAAATTTTTTTGTTATAATAAGGTTAGGTAAGTTTTCTAAAATTATTTTGGTGCAAAATTATAAATTTTTACATTAACATTAATGAAAAAAAATATATCTTTAAATGTGCTAGAGAAAATTTTAGAAAGGACTTAATTTTACATGAGTTCTTGCTAATTGACCAGTTTTACATATTCAGCACGACATATATATATAATATATATTAAAATATATATATATACAGTGGGCCCCGCTTAACGATCCACCTCCAAATGCGACCAATTATGTAAGTGTATTTATGTAAGTGCGTTTGTACGTGTATGTTTGGGGGTCTGAAATGGACTAATCTACTTCAAAATATTCCTTATGGGACAAAATTCGGTCAGTACGGGCACCTGAATAATATATTAATATATATATATAATATAATATATATTATATATATATATATATATATATATATATATATATATATATATATATATTATATATATATATATAATATATATATATATACCTAAACGGCAGTATGATGTAGGTAAAGGACAATCAGATAGATAATCTGCCGAGCGTGCCATTGTAGTGATATTGAGCAACTTAATGACTAAAAGAATTAATGCTCTAAGCTTTTTATTGACGTTGTTCGTCAATTAAAATGTTAGAGGAGTGCGAAGTGTTGTTGATATTCTTTGTGACAATAATTAATTATGTTTGTGTTTTTAATGGAGTGAAATCTGAATGGGGATTAGTCTCTAGTGGCGTTCCATAAGGATCAGTTTTAGGCCCTCTCTTGTTCATAATTTACATTAATGACCTTGATGAAGGGATTACTAGTGACATGAGTAAGTTTGCTGATGATACAAAGATAGGCCGTATAATTCACTCTGAGGAGGATATCAATGAACTCCAGGACGATTTGAACAAATTAATGTCTTGGTCTGAGAAATGGCAGATGAAGTTTAATGTGGATAAGTGTAAGGTTACTTGCCCTTGGTAATGAAAATAACCCTCGAAGCTATAAATCTAGGTGAAGTAGAGCTTTGTCATACAGAATGTGAAAAAGACTTGGGAGTCATGGTAAGCAGAAATCTAAAGCCAAGACAGCAGTGCCTCAGTGTGCGCAACAAGGCCAACAGATTACTTGGATTTATCTCAAGAAGTATAAGTAACAGAAGTCCAAAAGTTATTTTACAGCTCTATACATCACTAGTGAGGCTCATTTAGATTATGCTGCTCAGTTTTGGTCCCCTTACTACAGGATGGACATAGACTCATTAGAGAACATACAGAGAAGAATGACTAAAATGATTTACTGTGTAAGGAACCTCCCGTATGAAGATAGACTTAAAGCCTTAAATCTCCACTCTCTGGAGAGGCGGAGAATGAGGGGGATATCATTGAAGTGTATAAGTGGATGACGGGGCATAAACAAGGGAGACATTAATAAAGTACTGAGGGTGTCGAACCAGGTAAGAAACCAGGAATAATGGATTTAAGTTGGATAAATTTAGATTTAGAAAGGACATAGGTAAGTACTGGTTTTCTAACAGAGTTGTAGATGCGTGGAACAGTCTTCCCAGTGGGGTGATAGAGGCTAGGACCTTGGGTAGCTTTAAGAAGAGACTGGACAAATATATGAGTGGGAGGGGCTGGGTTTGATTGGTGTTGGGGGGTGCGGGAGTTGTTTCTTGAGTAGCTTTAGGTAGATATCGTTTTGATAAGGACCTGCCTCGTATGGGCCAGTAGGCCTTCTGCAGTGTTCCTACATTCTTATGTTCTTATGTCAATAATATGAGAATCACTGGCTATCTCGTGTGCTTTTCCTGCCGCAGTTGGGATCCAGAGCACTGACTCATTCACAGTCTTAGTTTTTCTTGAGATTTCTTGAGATTACTTGAGATTTCTTTTCTCACCATCATCGCTGATTTTCTTATTTATAGGAAGGTTCTGATTGTGTTTTGGCCTTTGCGTTGTTCTATTTGGGAATTTGCGTACGCAGCAATGGCTTTAAATTGGAAAATCCAGATTCAGGTTTGGTAATAGAGTTGTAGATGAGTGGAACAAATTCCCCAGTACCGTCATAGAAGCTAAAACGTTGGGTAGTTTCAAAATAGGAAAATAAATATATGAGTGGGTGTGGGTGGGTGTGAGTTGGACCTGACTAGCTTGTGCTACTAGGTCAGAAGTGAATGTGACCTAATCTGACTAGGTTAAGGTTTTGGCTTAATCCCCGTAGGAGAATTGGACTTGCCTCGCATGGGCCAGTAGACCTGCTGCAGTGTTCCTTCTTTCTAATGTTCTTAAATAATACAAAACACTTATACAGAAACTTGTTAATAATTCTTCTGATTAGCTTTAGACTTTCAACAACATCGTCAAATGACATTTCGAGAAACAATTGGAGTGTTTAGTGGAGTGTGTAGCAACCAATCTTGTAATTTCATTTAAAAAAAACTAGTGAGGTATATGACATTTCGAAGCTAAAACAAATTAAGTGTTAAAATTTTAGAGAATATAGCTGCAAAACTGTTAATTTTCTTAAGCCTATAGAGGTAATTATTAGCTTCCCTCAGATAGCTGGATATTACCTTAGTGCTTAATTGCATTCTTTATGCGCCGGTCAGCATTATTATTGGGCTGTAGAATTCTTAATTTGTATAATAAAGACACGCAGGTAACGATTAAGATATTTTATTAAGATAAAGTTTTGCCTACAAGATGCAAAATGTTGACTTACCAAAAATATTGTTAGTTTTGTGTACCTTTACTTCCCACTGTGTCGGTATCAATAAAACTAATACTTGTACAATTAATAAACCTAGTACTTGTACAATTAATAAACCTAGTACTTGTACAATTAATAAACCTAGTACTTGTACAAGTAATAAACCTAGTACTTGTACAAGTAATAAACCTAGTACTAGTACAATTCCCAATTGGTTAATTTTGTTTAACATTTCGGATATTAGTATCCATGAACTAATTTTTGACTGTCTTCCGATAGGCTTCCGCTGATATTTAAGAGTATTTGGAACTTATACTGGAATCTCTGTTGTTTGGTTGGTACTGTGTCATGTGGAGGTCACTCACCCTCGTATAACAGAGTGATCGCACACATTGTTTGGCAACACTGGTAGCATTTCTGCTGCATGACATCAGAATGTAAAAACCCTGGGCCAGGAGATATGAATCAACCCCTGTCTTTGTGATTCTAAAGAACTTTCTACCTCTTCGACAAAATAATTTAAAAAAATAGATATTTTAACTGACTTTTGCATAAAATATTGAATTCAGTTTTTTATGATGACTGTAGTTGGGATGGAAGACATTCTCATATACAGTTAGCAACAACAAGACACCACTCCCACGAGCCCTCCTAGGGCGGGGATGGTGCCAGAGCCAGAGCTTGCTACCACCTGTAGCTCACAAGACTGTCACTCCCACGAGCACCCCCATCTGGGGAGGGGCAGTTGGCAGACCAGTGGCCTAGCTTCTCCCTACGAGCCCCATGAGGGCGGGGAATGGGACTAGGCCTGGGGACAGTTGGTGCCGAAGCTGAGGAGGTACTTGTACCTCCTCCCATGGCAGACATAGGTCTCAAGACACTCCCAAGACAGGGTGCCAAGGCCGGGTCACCATCTGGAAAAGACCCGGACCGGGAGAATACCAGCGAATCAAGAACAACAACAATACAATTAGCAACACGAGAGATGAGACGAAGGAAGACATACGATAACTTCTAAACATAGTAAACAGTTTTTAGTTACGAAAACATACGCATGTCCACACAATTCCAGCAGCGTTGTAACAGAGGTGATTTTTGGTGACACGTCGATTTACGTGAGTAATACAATTAATAATACAATTTATTCAGGACACATTTTATTTCTAGAATAAAAACAGTATTTAATTTCACTTGTCTTTGTAACAGTATTTAATTTATGTGTGGGAAATAAAGTTTGAGGGTACTAACCTGGTAGTTGTGAAGGTTTTCCACGACACAGGTGAGTCTGGCCTCTCGCCCCACAGACACCGTCACGTTCTCGATGGGTGACACAAACCTGGGCATGGTGTCAGTAATGCCATCTGTGCACGAAAGGAGAAGCACATTCGTAAACATTCTGTGCAATCGATGTTTTAAAAATATATCATCTTTATTCATAAAATCCATTTGTGAGTTAAAGTACAATGGCATGTATGTTAGGTAGCGTTGAAAACACTGATAGAGATTCTCCCATTATCTTCAGTATATTAGTTTAAAAAACTCCGATCGCGGGTTCTAACCCCGCTCGTGTAAGGTTTTAATATATATTGTTACAAACATGATGTCGATTGATTGTTGTGTCGTGAGTTATTGGCCAAAGAATAGCTTAGTTTCCAGAAAAGACATTGAGTAACTGCCTGATAGTGTCAGCCAACAGGTAGCACTGCCAAGACCCGGTATATATGACCATCAGAAAAAAAATCGCTTCGCCCACTAAGAGATACAGCAGTCAGCTGACATGAGAGAAACCTCACTTTCCTTGTGCTCTCCCGACAACATTAGCTAATGTTTCGTAGATGCATTTAAGTTGTTGATAAAACGTTTTCCCTGTTCAGCAGGCTTAATTAGTCAAATACAGAGGTGATTACATTTCAGAAGACAGTAGAAGAGAAGAGGTATAAGACAATCGTTTCTCAGTCTTGATAGAAAATGGTCAGTCTCTTAGCCTAAAGCAAAGACATGAAGCCTTAAACTTTGGTTTAAAAAAACAGCTAAGCAAACACTAGGACATATTTATTAGAGAACTTTTCTGTCCTGGGACCGAAGTGATCAAGGTCCCAGGACCGAAACGTTTTTCAATAAATATGTCCTAGTATTTGTTCAGCTGCCTTTTTAAACCAATTTGTGGGTATAAATTACCAAGGTTTATGCCTTAAACTTACAGAATATAATCTAACCTGAGGAGAGTTGTAGCAGCCTGGAGATAAGGTAGAAATAGACTATGCTGAATGTAATATCGTCATTTAAATACATTAGTTATTTAAATGTTTATTAATAACAGGTGGAAACAACGGGCATGTTTCCTTATCACTGTTGTCCCTCTTCAACCAACAGTAAGTTGGTACCTGGGTGTCAGTCGACTGTTGTGGGTGGCATCCTGCTGGAGGGGGGGGGGGGTTAGTAAACCTTAGATTGGGCAGGGCTTTGAAATTGATACTTTAGAAAAAAAATTCACGCATCTTAAAAACATTGACAAAATTGTTCAGGCACAAGTTGTATTGACTAGGTGAGTAGAATGAATAGAATGACTAAGTGAATGTAATGAACAGAATGACTAAGTGAATGTAATGAATATAATGACTAAGTGAATATAATGAATAGAATGACTAAGTGAATAGAATAACTAAGTGAATATAATGAATAGAATGACTAAGTGAATATAATGAAAAGGTGAATAGACTTGCTAAGTGAATAGAATGACTAAGTGAATATAATGAATAGAATGACTAAGTGAATAGAATAAGTGAATATAATGAATAAAATAAGTGAATAGAATAAGTGAACAGAATAAGTAAATAGAATGAATAGAATAAGTGAATAGAATTAATAGAATGACTAGGTGAATATAATGAATAGAATGACTAAGTGAATATAATGAATAGAATGACTAAGTGAATGTAATGAATAGAATGACTAAGTGAATGTAATGAATAGAATGACTAGGTGAATGGAATGAATAGAATTAGTGAATAGAATGAATAGAATAAGTGAATAGAAAGAATAGAATAAGTGAATAGAACGAACAGAGTAAGTAAATAAAATTACTAGAACAAGCGAATAAAATTAGTAAATAGAATGATTAAGTGAATAGAATGAATAGAATAAGTGAATAGAATGAATGGAATAAGTAAATAGAATCAGTGAATAGCATGAATAGAATAAGTGAACAGAATGAATAGAATTAGTGAACAGAATGAATAGAATAAGTGAATAAAATTAATATAATAAGTGAAAAGAATGAAAAGAACAAGTGAATAAAATGAATAGAATAAGTAAATAGAATGAATAGAATAAGTGAATAAAATGAATAGAATAAGTGAATATAATGAACAGAATAAATGAATAAGTGAATAGAATGAATAGAATAAGTAAATAGAATGAAGAGAATAAGTGAATAAAATGAAAAGAATGACTAAGTGAGTAGAATGAATAGAATGACTAAGTCAACAGAACACTGCGTTGAAGATGTAGTGATTTATGGAACCTGTGAATCATAAATATTTATGAAGAAAAAAACATCAACGTTACAAGGAAACTGTAATATGTTTATTTACACTGTAAGAACAGAGAGGCAACATTTACACTGTAAGAACAGAGAGGCAACATTTACACTGTAAGAACAGAGAGACAACGTTTACACTGTAAGAACAGAGAGGCAACATTTACACTGTAAGAACAGAGAGACAACGTTTACACTGTAAGAACAGAGAGGCAACATTTACACTGTAAGAACAGAGAGGCAACATTTACACTGTAAGAACAGAGAGGCAACATTTACACTGTAAGAACAGAGAAGCAACATTTACACTGTAAGAACAGAGAAGCAACATTTACACTGTAAGAACAGAGAAGCAACATTTACACTGTAAGAACAGAGAAGCAACATTTACACTGTAAGAACAGAGAAGCAACATTTACACTGTAAGAACAGAGAAGCAACATTTACACTGTAAGAACAGAGAAGCAACATTTAACACTGTAAGAACAGAGAAGCAACATTTACACTGTAAGAACAGAGAAGCAACATTTACACTGTAAGAACAGAGAGGCAACATTTACACTGTAAGAACAGAGAGGCAACATTTACACTGTAAGAACAGAGAGGCAACAGTTTGACAGGGAGAAATAAATTTGATCATGTTATAAGATGTGGCATACAAAGAGTACGTAACCTTTATTCGGCGCATGTACACACCCTCATTTACAGGCTATCTCCCCCAACCAGCGAACCAGGTTGCTAAGAGTTGATGATGGGGCCCCGTCGTTCAACTAGTGACCAGGTTTTAGCCAATAAGAAGATGGTTTTGGCAATCGCAGAGGTTATGTGGGTACCGCTCTCCTGTCTGCCCTTGTCATTCCCATTCTAGAGCTGGTTGAAGCACGGTCTGCTATCTTGTGGCTTCTATTTCTGCCTTGCTTACCGTGGAGTGCACTATACTTATCACTGTACATAGTGTACATATTGCTGTTCTAAATTGGTGAAGGATAATATAAGTCTAAACTTTTTCTGCTGTGTTTATTTTGCTCCCATAACACCCGGAACAACAGGCCATTTGGAATCCTGGGTTGTAATATAAGACTTTTATTTAGGCCTATACTAAATGGAATTGTTCACTTTTAACACGTTTTCAACACTAAGAATGTAGATTATACACCAGGTCTTCTGGTTGTTGTCCTGATCTATCAGGCTGTTGCTTCCCCCTCCCTGCAGTCTGACGTATGCGCCACAGCCAGACTGGCTATGAACTGATTTGAGGAATTTGTTGAGTTTCCTTTTGAAGGCAGTCATAAGGCTATTGGTAATCCCCCCTTGTTCACAAAGGGAAGGCATTGAAGAGTCGAGGTCCCTTTACACTTATTGACTTCTCTCTCAATGCTCTTTCAATTTCTCCTCCATGGTTTTCACTGGAGGTATCTTCCGCCGTCTGACTGACCTAGTCTGTTCATATATAGAAATTTTGAAATATAAATTCAGGACCAATTCCCCCCCCACCTTCCCCCCTCTTACTAACCGTCTAAGAAGTACAGTGCAAGAGACTTCAGGTATTCCCTGTAGTTTAGGTGCTGGAGATCCTAAAACCTATGAAGATGAAAGTTAAGACACATTTGCAACATCTGGGTATCTTCATTGTAGACGTGACTATCAATACCTCTGCTCCAGAATGTTCACCACTACGGTGTTCATCACACCAACACCAAGACTGAGGGACTGATTACCTCATCTTCTGTATATAGTTCTACTGTCTTCTAATTATGTCCTAGAATCTGTATTGATAAAGTCACTGGATGGCGAAACGTCTACAATAAAGATACCCAGATGTTGCACATGTGTCTGAACTTTAATCTTGTCGGTATTATATATCTGTCTTATATATAGAAACTATAAACTTCCTTTGTACTTTTTCCAGTTCTTTAATATCGCCTCTTTGTAGTAGCTTAGGCTTGATTACAAGTATTTCTGGTGGTTTAGTACACACACACATGATGATCGGTTGGTAGTTTACTTAGCTCACACACTGAGGTACGGGGTTGGATCCCCGGTATAGGTGGAAATACTGGGGCGTGTTTCCTTAATTAAGACACCTCCTGTCCTTGTTCATATATCTGTTATATAGGTACCTGTATGTTAGCCGACTGATGTGGGTGACATCCTGGGTTCTCTCCCCGCCCGTGGCATGGTTTGTTTGCAATAGTGTCATTACGATGTCATGAGTCAAGTGAACTGTAGATATATATCCAAATGTATTCCTGTAAACCCTTTTTGGGGCCTTGTTCCTAGGCCTTTTGTGAATCCATACATTTTTGCGCTACTCTCCGGAGGATGGATATAGGGCGCACAATAAACTAGCCGCTTCGACGGGGAAAATGCGATCCTTGATAGACACCCATTACTACACAGCAGTATTTTAACCTAGGGAAAACGAGTGACTTGAAGAGTGTTAACAGAGCCTTTCCTTGTCTTGTTTTGAAAGTTCTAGTTACCCAAAATGTAATTTTCCTTGCAGCTGGAATAATAAAGTTTTGTGTTCTTTGAACGCGAGATTTTCTTAAATTATACCTCCCAGATTTCTCATATTAGATTTGCCCTCTATCAAGCGATTTCTGCTTGTCGAGTACTCCGACCTTGTTATTATTTGTTCAGTCTTTCCGCTACCTAGTTACTGTAATTTGTCGATGAACACGATATTGCTGTTAGTAGCCCATTGGAAAGTTTTCCCGATGTCACCTTGTACGCTGTCTGTGTCTTCTATGGATGCCACTCCCATGTAGACTCTAGTATCGTCTGCCAAAAATTATGCAGTCCTATGGTTTATATGCCTGTTTATGTCAGATATGAGAGTGAGAAAGTGAAGTGAAACAAGTAGTGTGCCTTAGGGAACAAAACATTGTAGCAGCCCCTGAGTTTAATCTGCTTATTATTTCTCTGTGGCTTCTTTTAGTTAGGAATACACGATAATTGCAGTTTATTTTCCAGTGCATCCAAGACCACGTGTAAAAGTCCAGCAGTTGTGAGAAACAGGAGAGTTCTGTTTTGAATCCATGTTGACCTGGGTTGTGCAACTAAAGAGACTCCATGTCACTCGTAATCTTTTTACTTGAACCCTTTCAAAGATCTTGATAATATGGAACATTAGCACTAATGGTTTCCATAGTTTTTTTTAAGCAGCATTTGAAACCTACACACTGTGTTTGCGACTTTAGAAAAAAAATAATGCCCTATTCTAAAGGGCATAAAACTCTCCCTTTTCTACAAAATTGGTAAGACGTACAATGTTCTAGTTAACATCAGATGAAAGATAAATGGCTAGATAATCTTTTCATCAACATCGTTTGAGCGAAATGTCAATAGATTGCATAATAAAAAATTCTGAAGTTTCTTTTCAAGATTATTTTGGGGGAAAATCAATATAAACAAAATGGTAAAAAAAAAAAAATAGCAAATTCCTAATTCCCCAATAACGTGTACAAAAATCATCACACTCCTATAAATACTTTTTGCCAAAACAACAAAATAACATTAATAACTTTTTCCTGAGCTACACATATAGTATTACTTTTCCTGCATAACTCTACGGTCACCTCACGCCACGTTTCAGTATGTTGCAACACACCACTCATGTTGACAGCCCGCAGGCAACTGAGTTGTTATCACTTCCTGAACTTGAGTGGAGTCCTCGGAGAAGTTGCAGTGTAGTGTATTTAGAATGACACAATCATAAAAATCGCGAATTGCCATCATTGTCCTACTGATGACAGCAAGAGCAAAAAATTACCTTTCTGGAAAAACGTTCTTAGAAATATGATAGAAACAATCTGATTACATGAATATGTTGCCAGAATTTTGCACTATTTATCGATAAGAAAACATTTTTTCAATAATTTTTTTATTTTTTTTTTTTTTTATCTTTCCTGACACCTTTGCTACATCTGATACTAAACGATAATTTTTGTCCTGAATTTTGCATTTAATATGAGGTATTTTTCATTTCTCTTAATTTCAAATATGACTATTTTCTTCTGTCTTTCGTATACTTTGTGTAATCCATTCAATTTGATCTCAACATTTTCCATTTCTCTCACCTTCGAGGAGTTTGTCATTTGTTGTCTTCAACCATGGAGAGCACGCCTATACTTGCACCTTCTTCTCTTCCTTCGTAATTGTGTAGAGAATACTTCTAAGGACATTGAGTTCATCCTCTCTCAATACTGATTCAGATCCTAGTTTATCATATTGTCTTCCCAGTCAAGCAGTTTCCTCTTGAAAGCTTCTACAGTTGTCCCAGCAGTGTTTCTGATATCTTTACGTAAGATGTTGAATACTCTGGCGTCACGTATGTCGATACAGTATTTCCTTATTGTGCCAACCACACCCTTGCTTTTCACTGGGTTTAATTTGCAATTCTTCCCATCTCTCTCTCTCTCTCTCTCTCTCTCTCTCTCTCTCTCTCTCTCTCTCTCTCTCTCTCTCTCTCTCTCTCTCTCTCTCTCTCTCTCTCTCTCTCTCTCTCTTCAGTATATTGTTACAGCAGTGTGCATATTTGGGACAAGGCCCTCGAGTACTTTCCAGGTGTATATTATCATGTACCTTTCTCTGCTATGTTCCATTGAGTTTATATTTAAGACTTTAAGGTGTTCCCAGTTATTTAAATACTTTTCTAGCTCTATGCTGACAGTAAACAATGTCTCTATTTGTTCCATCTCTGATATTTCTCCTGCCCTGAATGGGGGTCGTCAACACTGAGCAATATTCCAAATGAAGGAGTAATAGCGATTGTCACCCTTGGCATTATTTCCTTTCATTTGAAGGTTCTCATTACCCACCTCGTCATACTCCAGACTGTCGTGTCCTTTGTCGTATTGTTTTTTTATTGAAAGTAAGTTCAGCTGACATGATTATTCCCAAGTCTTTCACGTGTTCCTTTCGTTCTGCTTAACGATCCTCTTGAGTTTTGCATACAGTGTTCCTTTTGAGTAATTTATTTCCATACCTAAGCATCTGGAACTTATCACCATTGAATGCCATGTTGTTCTCCACTGCTCACTGAAAAATACTGCTTATATCTTCTTGTAATTTTTCAGAGTCTTCTACCGAAGTGACTTTTATGCTTGTTTTAGTGACATCTGCAAATGATAATACAAAACTGTGAGGATGAGAAACAACAGAGGTGCCAGGACAGCACTTTGAGGAACCGAGCATTTTACCTAGCTGATGCTGGATTTTGCTCGGTTTACTGCTACTTTTCGTGCTCTGTGTGTTAGGATCCCGAAAATACAGATGCCTACCTTCTCCATGATGCCTATGACACTCAATTTGTGTGCAATCGCCCCATGATCACATTTATCAAACCCCTTTGCAAAAAATCTTTGTTTAACACAAGTGCATTTTTGTTGTCTTCCACCGTCTTCGTAATCTGTCATATTGGGTCAGCAGCTGTGACAGACGTAATCGTCTTGCTCTAAAACCGTGCTGGTTTGGGTTATGCCGATTGTTCTGCTCCATGAAATCTGTAATCTGCTGTCTCATCACTCTTTCGAAAAGTTTTATGATATGGGAAGTTAGGGCTATTGATCTGTAATTTTTAGCAAGTGCTGTACTACTTCTCTTATGCAAAGGAGCTATGTGTGCATTCAATAGATCTCTGGTATTTCAACTAGATCTAGGCTCTTTCTCCAAAGAATACTTAGGGCACCTTTTTTTATAAATAGGGTATTCCATGAGTCTGGTGTGGGTGCTGAGTGAATAGACATTATTTCAGTTTCTTTTTCAAAATCTATGGGATTAGTTTTACAGTAGTATGCATATTAATTGGGAAAGTGATGAAATAAGACATTTATTTGGAAAATGAATGTTTATTTGAAAAATAAACGTCAATAATACGACAAATAATTGATTTAATAAGAGATATGACTATCCTTTGCTTTTATAAGTATTGCTGCACAGGCACAGAATCGACCAATGTTGCACATATTTTTGTAAGTTCTTCGTCGTGGTACCTGGTCCTAATGAGAGCAGCAATTAGCTTCTCCTCAGTTAAACAATCCTGTTTCGTGATCTTGAGTTTGGCTGTAGGCCATAAATTTTTAACTGGATTGAGGTCAGGAGAGTTTCCAGGCCAATTTAGAACGCCTCGCCCATTCTCTTCGAGGAATTTTAGCACTTTTCTGGAAGTGTGGCATGGAGCAAGATCCTTCTGGAAAACGCCGTCTCCATTAGAAATGTTTCTGTCCACAATGGGAAACAAATGAGTTGCCAGGATTGCCTTCCATTTGTCACTGTTCATCGTTCCCTCAATGCTAACAAGCTGTCCAGGACATTTAGCAGTAAAACGTCTCCAAAACATCTTAGGAGGGTGTTGTAGTGCTTGTTAAATGTGTCCAAATGGATGAGGTTCGCGTTTGCTCCACCTCATTATCACTGACTTGTACCCCATGTACTTCAAAATGCACCTCATCTTAAAATATAAGTATCCTCCATTCATTTGTCGTCCATCAGTCATGATTGACTTCCCACCACAGCAGTTTTTCTTCAAAGCAGCAGTCAATAATTTCTTCTTTACTGGCTATCAGGAAGCTCTGCCAGCTTCAAGGAGCCTTCATCGAACAATTGAAGAATCACCATTTACGCCAGATGAAAACAAATCTTTCTGTAGATCTTTGCTGGTTTTCATGGGATCCTTCACACTATTTCTCACAACCTTTTCATCGTGAGGTGTCTTGCGTTTTCTTCCACATCATCCTTCACAATCCACCAGTGTCGTTACCTCTCTTCAGAATCCGACGAACTGTTGACTTTGCTAGACTCAAACCATACCACGGGCGGGATTTGAACCCGCGGTCAGAGAGTCTCAAAACTCCAGACCGTCGCGTTAGCCACTGCACCAGCTAGCCACAATAAGATTCGTCCAACTAGGTATATTTCTACACCATAGGAAGGTTAACACAGGCACCACTGTGACCACAAATGCAAGTTTTTACAGACGAATCGTAAAAACTTGCATTTGTGGTCACAGTGGTGCCTATGCTAACCTTCCTATGGTGTGACTCAAACTTTTGGCAATCTGTCTGATACTTAAATCAGCATGTTTTTTTAAGAGCTACAATACTTGCACGCTTCCTAGGTGTAACATCCATCATGAATTTCAGCAGTAATCATGAACTGAAGAGTAGAAATTGTCGAAACCACATTCACTTACAGTGCACACTTACAGGAATTGCCTTACAGAACAACTGCTGTTGTAGCACTGACGAGAGTCGCAAGGTAACACCACAACTGGATAGTTGCCATAAGTCGGTAGCAAACTCTTCTGAAATGAAAAGAACCCAAACTACATTAACTAAAGGAGAGACTAAGACATTTTATGAGATAATCACAAATTTACTCCTTTCCCAATTAATTTGCACACTACTGTAATGTCAGTTTGTCGATCTGCGCTACCATCGGCTGGAGTGAAAAAAATTTCTTCATTCTCTAATATGCTGTCATTTACTGGGTTACCGAACACCAACTCGTACTCATTTCCTGCTCCTCGTTAGTATACGAGTCTCCTCTCATTAACGGTACACGCAGTTCTAAGTTCGGATTTTGTGTGTGAATATAAATATTTTGGTTTTCTAGCAGTATCCTGGACGGCCTTTTGTTTTCTTCTGCTTGGTATGACACCCTGAGTTTCTGCTCTTAATCGGTGATCTCTTGGCTAAGATAATCTTACCTTTTTTGGTGACATGTTTATATTTTGAAGCAATTCGGTAACCCCTTTTTATTCTTTTGTGCTATCTCCTACGCTCTCTCTATATATTTATCTGATCATTTTTTGGGTTTTCTCAATGATACGTATGTAATACTGACCTTCCATACATCTGTATTCAATTTCTCCATTCACTGAAACAGGGCTCTGGTGGCCTGGTGGTTAACGCTCTCGCTTCACACGGTGAGGGCCTGGGTTCGATTCCCAGCCAGAGGAGAAACATTGGACGTGTTTCTTTCCACCTGTTGTCTATGTTCCCCATCAGTAAAATGGGTACCTGGGTGTTAGTCGACTGGTGTGGGTCACATCCTGGGACACTGACCTAAGGAGGCCTGGTCACAGACCGGGCCGCGGGGGCGTTGACCCCGGAACTCTCTCCAGATAAACTCCAGATAAACTGATGAGGATTTAGTGTTTTATGTCTATTTCCATGATATGTTAATTTTGTCCCAGTCATTTCTATGGCTGTTGAAGTTAAACTTGTTCAACGTACCTCTTCTTAAATTAGTGTTGTACTTCCATGGCCATGAGTTTACACTCGTTTGTATTTCTACGATGTTGTGATAGGAGTATATTGTTTTTGTAACTGTTGTATCGCTGATTAGTTTCTCATTGTTTGTGAATATCAAATCCAGGGTATTTTCATTTCTAGCGGGATCAGTTATCTGCTGGTTCAATAGGTTCTTTTCGCAAAGCTTCATTAGTTCCCTGGTATGTACCTACTGGGCCACGGTGCTTCCAGGAGTTGTTTCTGGAATAACGTTGTGTTCAGATATCTTCCATTTTACATGTGGGAGATTAAAATCTCCAAGGAGAATAATATCTGGTATGGGATTTTCTAGCTTATCAAGACAGATATCTTCCTTAACTGCTTTGTGAATTCTTCGGCTGTTGCTGACGGTGGTTTAAATGCTAGCGTAATTACCAAATTCCTATTTTCAGCTGTAATACCTAAAATTTCTATTGTATCGTTCAGTGAATTCAACAGCTCTGACCAACATACAGTATATTTCATATGGAGTCCTATTTCTCCCTGTGACCTATTAATTCTATCACATCGATACATGTTAGAGAAAACTATAACACGTATCGTCCAAAACATTGGATACATGCTTTAGACATATATAACATGTATCTGTCCTAAACATCCATCGTGTGTATTTCTGTAAATGCGCCAAACATGGCATTCGCTTCATTGAGGAGCCCACTAATATAAATGTTTGCAAAGAAGAAGCCGGATTTACCATTTGGAATGTTTTGCTTTGGTATGTGTTAAGTTAGTACCATTGATGATGTACTACCTGCAATAAAATTATGAGCTCTACAGAAAAGGTGATTTTTTTTCCTCTCTCCATAATAAAAAGAGAGTGTGGACAAAGGCAGGTCACCTCATCGGTAAGGTCATATTTGAGAATTGTTTTCAAAGATATTGGTTGTATTTTCATGTGCTCCAGCAAAAACAACTTTTATGGGTATTTTTCATATGAACATCCATTAATCAGTGTCACTGGTATTATGGTGAAAGTGGCACCTGATTTACTGGGTGAACTTAGTGTTCCGGGTGACCTAACAAAAACATACTGGATGACTGGAAAACATACTGGATGACTGGAAAACATACTGGATGACTGGAAAACATACCGGATGACTGGAAAACATACAGGATGACTGGAAAACATGCTGGATTACTGGAAAACATACTGGACGATTGGAAAACATACTGGATGACTGGAAAACATACTGGATGACTGGAAAGCATACTGAATGACTGGAAAGCATACTGGATGGCTGGAAAACATACTGGATGACTGGAAAACATACTGGATGACTGGAAAACATACTGGATGACAGAAGAATTCTGAACGGCCAACATCAGATATAAAAAGCAAATTAAAGGGAGTAGAGACAGTTAAGAAAAGATAGCCACATAAGAAACAGCAACAAAAATAGACAGAGGCCGGTGGTGTCCTCCTAGAAAGGGTTTATGATCCTTTTCCCTGAGGGGCCAAACAAAGTCAATCTCAGGAATAATAACGAGAGCACCAATCCCCAACTCAATTTCCCACACCTTGCTCCACCTCCCCTCCTCACAGCTCAGCCACAACTCTCTCAACACTCACTCACAAGGCACTGCAGCAACTTATTTGTGAAATATCATATTTTTCTTCTCCTCACTCCACCTCTCTCTCTCTCTCTCTCTCTCTCTCTCTCTCCTACAACACCTTCAAACTTAAATACTGTAAATTTTCGTCACCTTTCTTCTTCCTCCTTCTCTCTCCCATCTTCTCTCTCATCACTTCTCTTTTCTTTCTTCCTTCATATTTTCCCCTCACTTCCAATTCCCTTTTCTTTTTCCCACCCTTTCTTCCACTTCCTTTTCATGCCGCAGTTTTTAACTCTCCCTCTCCCTCCACACCTGACTGTGTCTCTCCTTCCACACCTGACTGTGTCTCTCCCTCCACACCTGACTGTGTCTCTCCTTCCACACCTGGCTGTGTCTCTCCTTCCACACCTGACTGTGTCTCTCCCTCCACACCTGACTGTGTCTCTCCTTCCTTACCTGACTGTGTCTCTCCCTCCACACCTGACTGTGTCTCTCCTTCCACACCTGACTGTGTCTCTCCCTCCACACCTGACTGTGTCTCTCCTTCCACACCTGACTGTGTCTCTCCCTCCACACCTACTGTGTCTCTCCTCCACACCTGACTGTGTCTCTCCTTCCACACCTGACTGTGTCTCTCCTTCCACACTGACTGTGTCTCTCCTTCCACACTTGACTGTGTCTCTCCTTCCACACCTGACTGTGTCTCTCCATCCACACCTGACTGTGTCTCTCCTTCCACACCTGACTGTGTCTCTCCATCCACACCTGACTGTGTCTCTCCTTCCACACCTGACTGTGTCTCTCCTTCCACACCTGACTGTGTCTCTCCTTCCACACCTGACTGTGTCTCTCCTTCCACACCTGACTGTGTCTCTCCTTCCACACCTGACTGTGTCTCTCCTTCCACACCTGACTGTGTCTCTCCCTCCACACCTGACTGTGTCTCTCCTTCCACACCTGACTGTGTCTCTCCTTCCACACCTGACTGTGTCTCTCCCTCCACACCTGACTGTGTCTCTCCATCCACACCTGACTGTGTCTCTCCGTCCACACTTGACTGTGTCTCTCCGTCCACACCTGATTGTGTCTCTCCCTCCACTCTGTGTTTCTCCTTTTTCATCTGCTTCTGCCTATCTCATCTCCATTTGAATTTCTGCTTGCATGCGCATCTTCTCTGCTCTATCTCATGCGCATGCGCATCTTCTCTGCTCTATTTTGACCTTTTCATTCCTCGATTTCAGTTGTTTGCCTTCCATATAAACATTCCTACTCTTTTTTCCCTTTTACCAGTCTACCTTCAATTATTACCGCCACTCTCACAGTTTATCCTATTCATAATTTCTCTTTGTATCTCTCACATTTTACTCTTTTCCTTCTCTTCTTTACCTTTCTCTTTCCTCTCTAACTCTACCTACCCATTATCATTCACTTTTCCCTTAACCATCAGATCTCTTCTTTTTCCATTCTCTCAAACATCACTCGCACTATTAATTAATCCTTCACCCATGAACCCATGAATTCTGGCCTGCCACAGTAGTTTCATTGTGTTATAGACTGTTTGTGGGGGCGGATACTCAAACAGGAGGAGGCTGAAATTGATCCCTGGTAAGCTTATGTGAAGCTGTCCGGTTATAACCCAAAGCAACTGATTTCCGTAGTAGTAGTTAAGCTACTTGAGAAAATCAGAACCAGTGGAGTGAGAGAAGACATCTTAGCGTGTATCGCAAGATGGTATAAATATTGTCCCAAATGATTGTAGGCAGATCGGGTGAGAAAATAAATATTTCACTAGAGGGATAGCAAATAAGGAAGGGATGTTTCTATTTAAGACTCCTGGAGGCCACATTAATTATGGTACAATAGATTAAGGCACACACATCTGAGTAATAAATCCCTGGAAGCAGTAACTTCGAACTTCGAAGAGGAAGTAGCATCCGATAGTACAGAATTCATGACTGAGGATACTAGTGCACCTTAACACAAGTTATGGGATTTATATAGAGGATACATCAACTTCAATAAGGGTAGTCCTGATGACACGTTTACTAGGTCGGTATCTCGAAAAGGGATAAATTTGGATGAGTCTGTCCTGAAAATTGAATCGGTGGCATGTGAAAATCAATCGTCGGTAGACAGCTCAACCTCTTCGCTAGTCGCTACTAATTCCACTCTTTCACTGGTCTTTGAGATTTATCCTACATAATTTAAAGCTATGCATAGATTCTGCCTCCACTACATCATTAGACAAGTAAAAAATCTTAATGCTTGGTTAGAGTATCAGGTGGGTGTCACAGAGACGGGTGTCGTCATGCGACGACACCCGTCAAACTACATTTCACGTGATGGTGAAGTGTAGTCTTGACTCTTTATATGCCTTCCTTTGATGTTTTGTTTTTTACAGTTTCTTGATAATGTGAGAAGTCACGGAAGCGCTTGGAATTCAGCTATTCTTTCACAGTGGTTGCTTTGCATATTGTGATATCAAGTGTTTACTGTGATTTTATTGCATATATACATACATACATATATATATATATATATATATATATATATATATATATATATATATATATATATATATATATATATATATATATATATATATATAATATATATAATATATATATATATATATATATGTAATATATATTCATTTGAATAATCAAATTAAAAGTGTTACAGGTCCCTTTATGCTCTATCTTCCAAGACTATAATGCACCAATTAATACCACTAAATAGTAAAAAATTAGCGTGAAAAACACGAAAGTGAAGTCGAAACACTTGTCCCCAGAGTCGCTGAATCTAAATATTATCGAGCAACTTTGGCGTCAATTGGAACAGCAATTGGAAGTATCAGATGAACGCATGGGAGGACGGGTTAAATAGTAAGACGACAGAGAAGCTAAAAATTTGGGTTGGAAGTTCCTTTGTAGTTTGTGATTCCTGTTCTTGGGTTGGCGTTCTATGTTAGGTTGAGCGCTGGTATGTACTTCTGGAGGGCGAATTTTGAAATGATATCTGATTTCCATTGTCCCTTTGAGATGTTGAAATTCGTGGTGGTAGCTATGAGTGCGGATTCTATGACTTTGTAATTGCAGTGTGATTGTGTTTGATGGTGGTCGTTTCCCATTAAATATTGGAATTATTGATACTAATATTGTGAAAAAAAACAGCTGAATTCTTCTGTGATGGGTGGGTGTATTGGTGATGCGTAGGTGTGGGTGATGGGTGAGTGTGGTGGGTGATACGTGGGTGTGGTAGGGGTTAATGATGGGTGAATGATGTAATGTGCGGGTGATACGGTGGGTGATGGATTCTTGTGCTGAGCAACAAATGAATGAATTCCAACAAAATACTTGAGATCCCATCTTAATATTCAGCTGTTGAAATATTCTGCTGAAAGACTCTCTAAACACATCATCAGAATTCTTTAAATATTAAATATATCAATATTAAAAAATGAAGAATTTTTGTTGGACAGTGTTGTTCGTAGGAGTTTCACTGTGGATGTTCCAGGACCTCCTGACTGGATGTCTGCAGTCAGACGTGCGGGTCCTCAACGACCTCGTCGCACAGCAGTACATGCCCAACATCTTCGTCAGGCTGCTCAGCTACATACCCTTCGTGGGGCACTTGGCGACGACTGAGGGAGTGTCTCTGCCCCAGGTAGATCTGCCCGGGCTGTTGAACTGGTCCCTCGTGAGGAAGCTCAAATGCGTCATCGCCCTGCGAAGTCTCGTGCAGCTGAGGTTGTTCATGGGAGAGGAGAGTCCTTCGGGATACTTGATGATGGTGGTGGGGCTTCTGCTGGGGTACGTCGCCCTTGCTCTCTACACCATCACCTTCACCCTCATGAAGGGCTTTAATAAATTACAAAGGTGCAGAACCTCAACTGATTCGCCAGCAAGTGCGGCTTTCTCAAGCCTTTGCATGGGCCTTAGAGATAGCGTGTCATGGGTTCGAGAATCCACACGGGTTAAACCCACCTATTACAGCACCTTAGGGGTTCGAGAACCCCGCAAAACTTGGGATAAACCGAGGTACTGTTGGATATCAGGGGCTCGAGTGCCAGTAACCTCGCTGGTTGAACCATCATTCTGTAGTATATCAGAGATTCAGGAGCAGGAACCTATGACCAGCAGAAAGCATAGCGGCCCCGTCTCCCCTCCCATGACAGCCAGCCCTGACTCTTCTGTCTTGACACCCAGCCATGGCTCTTTTACCTTAGCAGCCAGCCCGGGAGTTTCTGCAAAGACAGGCAGCATTGGCTATACTGCCGTCTCTCCTGCCGTGATAGCCAGCCCCTTCTCTGGCATGACGGCCAGCCCCGTCTCCTCTGCCTTGACAGCCAGCCCGGGAGTTTGTGCAAAGACAGACAGCATTGACTATGCTGCCGTCTCTCCACCCATGACAGCCAGCCCTGACTCTTCTTCCACGACAGCCAGCCATGTAACTGTTGTCAAGACATCCAGCCACGTAGCTGCTGCCAAGACAGCCAGCCCTGTACCTGCTGTTGCTACACATGATATGTGTACAGAGGTCACCACCGATGACAGCTCAGTAAGGTTTGTAATGACGAAGGTGAGGTCAATGTTGGAGGAGCTTCACTCACCAGCCGTCGTGGCCAGAACTGCCTTGCTCGCTATAATTTCGGAAATGGACCTGGAAGACGAGCTAAGTGAGTCATGGTGTTCAGACGACTGTACTTATATATCATGAGCTGCCTGACTCACCTTAAGTTGTAAGACCCAGGCTGTTAGTGGTGGGAT